TGGGGAGCGCCACCTGCTGGAAACTGGGTCCAGCGTCCCATGAACATCGTGAATAAAGCACCAACCGGCACCCCACACACACACACTCTTCGAGTTGTGTATAGCGAATATGACAAAACATACATACAGCATAATCACTACCTTACCCTTTCCGAACTGCATAAACAAACGAACTACGGGTTGCGCACCCGTGCACTAACGGTAAGTCGATAGAAATTGTACGCAATGTATTCGAATACAACGTGCACCCTTTCTATTCGGATTTCGAAAAGAAAAAACTATTGTATTCCAATACAATTAGTACGTTTTTCTTGGAGGTCAATGCTTGCCCTTGTGCTCCCCGCCACTGACATGTTGCATGTTGCAGGTCTCTCTCTCTCTCTCTCTCTCTCTCTCTCTCTCTCTCTCTCTCTCTCTCGTGTGCGCTCGCTTTTTTTTCACACACACACACACACACACACACACGCACACACACACACACACACACACACACACACACGAGTGTGGTAGTGTATGTTTCCATCGATAGAATGACCAAAATCGAATGAATCTTCCGCTACAACATGAAAATATACTCTACTACGTTGCTTATCCTATCGATTTTTCTCTCTCTCTCTCTCTCTCTCTCTCTCTCTCTCTCTCTCTCTCTCTCTCTCTCTCTCTCTCTCTCTCTCTCTCTCGCTCTCGCTCTCGCTCTAGCGCGCACGCGTGTGCGCGCCGTGTGTCCAACCTCTCATCATGATATACGTCGTCATCAGATACATGGATGACTGCTCGACAACTTGTTATAGATAGATATATATATCAACCGTGCGTACACGTGTAAGTCCACTGATGCTTATTATAACTATTATGACACTGATAAGAGATATCGTCGATTATTTGTGTTTTTTAATAAGTAAATAGTGTTTTTGTATGACAAGGGAATGACAAGAAGAGCATTTGCGGGGGTACAGTGTTCGTAAAGTCATTTGGGTATTTTATTTAATTTTTTCAAGTCATTTGGGTAAAAAAAGGAAAACCAACACCTCATTTGCGAGCCTTTACCACAGTTGGTTAGCGAAAATAGTTGTTTATGCCCTTGTGAAGAGACATGTATCAGTCATCATTCGTACAGATACACACACAAATACTCACTCATACACACACACATGCACGTTCACACACATCCACGTGCACGCATACACACATGGACCCACAGTGCAAAGTGCCTTAAAGTCTCAATCTGGGTTCACGGTAGTAGAACAGAGTGTTGGTCATGGCCCAGTGGCTGAAAACCCTTCCAAAGAGTTCGGCTCTGTTGAGGACCCAGGAGTGTGTAGAGTGTTTCAAGTCTCGGTCTGGGTTCAGAGTGAGGCTCTGCTGAGGACCCAGGAGTGTGCAGAGTGCTTCAATCTCAGCCTGGGCTCAATAATAGTAGAGCAGAGTTCAACATGTTTTTCAAAAGGGGTTAGCACACTCACACAAACTTGGTCATTCACAAACAGCAGCAACAGACATATGGCAACAGCAACACCAATAGATAAACGAAATCCAATTCACAGGAGCATACATTTCAGAGTGTTCCACAAGAACAACAATTAACAGTTGCAAAACCTTTGAGGGACAATCATTATTGCACTGCATGTTTTTGAGACAAAACACAGTGAAGTTACAGTGATTTAGTTTGTCACAACTCCCCGTTTCTTGTCCTTTCCTCCCTTTCTACCTGCGTTTCTCTGGTTGTTCTTTCTGATGATGACATATACATGTATCAGTCATCATTCGCATACATACACACACAAATACTCACTCATACAGACACGCATGCACATTCACACACAGGGGCACACACACAAACACACAAATACTCGTTTACACACACACACACACACACACACACGTGCACGCACACACATAGAGACCCACAATGCAAAGTGTCTTCAAGTCTTAGCCTGGGTTCAGGGTAGTAAGACAAAGTGTTGGTCGTGGCCCAGTGGCCGAAAACCCTCTTTAAGAGTGAGGCTCTGCTCAGGACCCAAGAGTATGTAGAGTGTTTCAAGTCTCAGTCTGGGTAGAGCAGAGTGTTGTTTGTGGCCCTGGTGGGTGAACACCCCCCTCAAGAGTGAGACTCTCTTGAAGATCCACGAGTGTGCAAAGTGCTTCAAATCTCAGTCTGGGCTCATTAGTAGTAAAGCAAAATTCAGCATGTTTTTCAAAAAGGGGTTAGCATACTCACACTCACACAAACTTTGGCATTCACAAATAGCAGCAGGAGACACATGGCAACAGTAACACCGATAGATAAACGAAATCCAATTCACAGGAGCATACATTTCCAAGTGTCCCACAAGAACAACAATTAGTAGTCGCAAAGCCTTTGAGGGACAATCATTATTTCACTACATATTTTTGAGACAAAACTCATTGAAGTTACAGTGATTTTGTGACACAGGAAGGGGATAGAACTCAAGGCATCAACGAGTTTAATAGAGATTTAAGTTGTAATGAGTGGTTAGCATAACAACGGTTAAGAAAAAAAAAAAAAACAAAGATAACGACTCAAAATATCAATATGGCGATTTCGCAGACAGTCAAGAATTCAACCTCCTGCATGATCATTATAGTTGTATTAAATGCAAAGAGACGGCACACACATATACACACATACACACACAACAAATGCACATTCTAATTGAAAGTTGAAACCTTAAATAGAAGTGCAATACATTTCAAAATAGAAAATTAATAAACAGAAGTCTATTTGACAAGGTTAATATTAATATTTTAAATATGTTCAAGATATTCAATTACCCATAATTTACTAATGTTTTTTTTATAATGTTTGTAGCAAATACTAAAAATGAATATTAATCTTGTTTTTTTGCATTTTTTTGTTTATTGATGTCTATGTTAACAGATAAAGATGAATACAACAACTACAAATATCAAACGTCACGTTATCTTAAGCAAATTCATGCCTCAATTGAAAGATAAACTTGAACATGAAAAATTATGCGTACAGTATCAAAAATGTTTCTTTACTACATTGATCAACCAGAAAAAGATATTTTTTGGATTATTGGCAAAAAAATATTATTAGTACGTATAGAAATGCGAGAATACCTAAATAAGTTATTGATTTATTTGTATTTAGGAGATATAAATCAGCCAGAAGCAGTTCAAGCAGTTCAATCAGCTTTACAAATCAAGGATGGGGTCACACGATTTGATTTGTTATCTTTATTAAGGAAAGCAACAATGTATGATTTGACATCACAACACGAACTACCACCGAAAGGAACATGTATTACATTTAAGAAATGCACAAAACTAGTAAGATTCGGATATCATGCAATGACATGTTTCAATACAAATATAAGGTCAATGGATTCATTACCCAAATTAGCACGACAACAAATCATGGTTCAACATATAGCATCGACATCTTCAGCAAGTGCAATGACATCAAAAGGTAAAGTAGAGGGTGAAATTTTAACAAATGAAGTGCATGAAAACTTACCAACAGCAACAACAGCTGAAGCAGTACCTCAAACTTCAAAAGAAACAACCAGTGAAGTTTTCGCACCTAATCCTATGCTTACGACAAATAAAAACAACAAGTTTGCAACCATTGCAAATGAAAATGCAAATACCGATGATATTCAGCATGGAACAAACGTTAATGAT